TTCCTCCCTCTCGTTTGCTGTGGGCAGCAGCTTCCCTCAATATATCCACTGCTGCCTCTTGGATCCTTGCCTGCAGAARGAAAAAAGGCACCATATATCTCTGTCCAGGGACTGCAAAGCTTGTTAGGTAGCATGTATGGAGGAAATTGCATGAAATATAAAATGTGGTTGTGTTTGGCAAGCTGTGGGACAGACAGAAGTTTTATAAAGAGGTCCTGGGAGCTGAATAAGCAGCCAAATGTGTCTCCCACTGCTAAATTGAAGTGATTTCTGTTTTAAATGCACTTGCCCAAAGACTACCTGAAGACTTGCTATTTTATAGCACTTTGTTTTCTGCCTGGCCAGTGCAAGGAGTCAGTAGGCAGCAAGCTATTGCAAAACCAACTTTGCAAAATCCTGGTGGTGTTGGCAAGGCAGAGCCCGAAGTGTGTGTGCAAGTGAGCACATGTGCACAAAGCTTCACTTTTTAGTATAAGTAATGTAGTTTTTTCTTCTACCCAAACCAATCCTGGATCTGTGGGACTTCTTTTWAAAAAGGGGTCCAAGCCTATAACTGGTCTAAACTGTGTTACCTATTACATTGAGTTCTGCGTGAGTAAAGAGTGCACAATCAAACCCTTGGATTATGGAGATTATTTGTTTCTTCCATATGCTGGTGCRAATGTCTGAGCTGGTATCAAGGACACAGTCTGATGTGTGTGGTTATAAGTATCTAGATTATTTCTATAGTAGCCCAGATTACTTACACTGAACACCAGCCAAAGAGAGCATTGCCATAAACACGCTCTGGGACCTATTTTGGACAGARTATGAACCAGTGCTGCTCTGCCTGTCTCAGCATTGTCTGTTCAACAGCAAAATGAGCTAATGGCAGTGTTACCCAATTGCCTGGGAGCAATCACCTCAAGGTAGGGCATGGCTCCTTTCCAAAGGAAGCCCTTGGGCATGATATTACAAGGTGTGCAGAGCTTTATTCACTSAACCATGATGCCTGTGGGACAGGGAGGTTCCTGGTGTCTTGTGACTCTGCCCATGTCCCCATCTGCCAGAGGCTGTTTAACCCCACTAGAGAAGCCCAAGCCAATTAGGGAGCCCTTTTGAAGGACACAAGACACTACGCCTTTGCACAAGCTGTGATTGTGCGAGGTTGTGTTTGCTGGTTTTGTTCCTGGCAGTGTCTTTCAGCCCTCCTTGCCCCTCCATGCAGAAGTGCAGCTCTGTCTGCTCAGTACTGGGTCACCCACCTGTGCAAGGTGTGCAAGGCACTGTCTGTTGTCCCCTCAGCTCCTGCTGGTCTCTGCTCCATGCTCATTCAAGAGAGAAGGGAAAGGAGAGAGGCTGGAGCAAAGCTTTAGGTCATCTGAGACAAGGAGCAAAGCAGTTTCAGATGGTGCAAAATTTACTGAATGCCTGCTAGCTTTGTTCATTTTTGAAGTCCTTTAGTGTAAGCTGGYTGGTTGCTACCAGTACTCTGAGCACCTCTGCCTGGTTTCCCCCTGGCCATGTGCCTGCCCATGCTGCTTCCCATGGACCAGGCAGGGATGTGGCAAAATTAAAAGCAGGAAAATGTCTTCCATGCAGAAGWGGCAGCTCTGTGCTCCTCTTTTAATAAAAGGAATGCCTTTTGCTTCACAGCACTGAGATAAACCCAGACCTTACTGYGAGGGAGGAAGGGAACATTATTAGTAGCTGTAAATCATCCTAAAAGGATGGGGGATGGGTTCCCTCTGTACCCTGCCCTTGTGCAGACATGTTTGCTATGAGCAGTCCTGGCAGGCAGTATGAGCTGGATGTTGCAGGCAGCAGTTYGTAGAAGGTTGCGTTTCAGGGCAAGTTATTTCCAGAGCTGAAGAAGCTGGATTTTAAAACATGTTTCCTTTTGGCAGATACACTTTGTGACTATTGTGCATCCTTGTAGCTTGTCCTTAGGGGAGAGGATTATGTGGTACTTGAGAGATGCAATAGCCCAGTGGCTCTTATCTGATGGAGAAGAGAACTCACATTTCAAATTCCTCTGAAGTGGACACAGAAGGGGAACTAATACCACAAGCACTGGCAATGTGCTGAGATGTCACTGTGAATGCCAGTTGCTCGTCCTGGTGGTTTTTGGGGGTTCTTCAGGAGGCYTCAGTATTTCAGTGTCCCTGGCTGCTCTGGCTTAACTGTTCCTGGTGATACTGGATCATTTCTACCAGCCTGTCATGAATTGTGTAGATTATCAGTCTTGAAATGCAARCTGTATGGCTAGGTCTCCAGCAGCGTTCCAATGCTGGCATTAATCCACTGCTGTTCTTGACCCTTTGGCAGCTTGTCTGATTGAAAATGAGTCATGGTAACAGTGTACTGAGCTTGGTGTTCCTCACAGGGGTGAGTMATGTGCCTCTCTCCCTCCCTTGGTAGCAGGGGAAATAAAAGCCCCAAAAAAACAAGTGGTTCTGTTAAGGTCCAGCGACCAGGAGAGGACCCACACCATGTTTCCTGCAGGCTCCTTTTGTTGTAATKATATCCTTAGGGCTATATCTTATGGTTTTTATGATGACAGGTCCCAAATCTGATGGGACTGTAGGCGGCTTTCASTGCTCAGGATTTCTTCAGAGCTGCGAGCTGTCCCTGTGTGCTGGTTTTGGCTGGGGTAGAATTCATTTTCTTCACAGTGGCTGGTATGGGGCTGTGTTTTAGGTTTGTGCTGAGCACAGGGTTGATAATACAGAGATGTTTTTGTTACTGCTTACACAGAGCCCAGGCCTTTTCTGCTTTCCATACTGYCATGCTGGTGAGGAGTCTGGGGGTTCACGAGATGTTGGCAGGGAGGCAGCTGGGACAGCTGACCAAAGGGATATTCCAAACCACATGACATCATGCTCAGTGTATAAAGAGGGGAAGAAGAAGGTCATGTTTGGAGTGATGGTGTTTGTCTTCCCAAGCAGGGCCCCATCATGCAACCAAAATGTATGATGGGGCCCTGCTGTCCCGGAGATAGCTGAACACCTGCTTGCCCATGGGAAGCAGTGAATTAATTCCTTGTTTTGCTTTGTTTGTGTGTGTGGCTTTTGCTTTCCGTATTAAACTGTCTTTATCACAACCCAGGAGTTTTTCCACTACTCTCCCAGTTCTCTCCCCAGTCCTGCTGAGGGGGAATGAGTGAGCAGGTGTGTGGAGCTTGGCTGCTGACGGGGGTCGAACCATGACACCCTGACACAAGGTTTACAGGAGGTATCCTCAAGGCATTGAATCCAGTGGAGTGGCTGTAGATTGCACTCAATGGCCCTGATAGGTCACCAATCAGCTGTGAGCTGCAGCTGGGCAGRTGATGATCTTCACATTTAAAGCAGATTTTCTGTATCCATCTGGTGCTTTGTCTGGTGTTTTCATCAGCACTTCCTCTGTCAGTTCAGAGACTGCTTGCACCATTCAAAGTGGTGTGCAGGTAGACATTCACTATTGGCTGACCCRTCTGAAGCTCTTTGGATTAACGTTGAGCACCTTATTCAGCCTTGGACCTGTGATTCGCATCTGTGTCCTTCACTTTTCCATGAAATACTTTCCTAGTAGAGTGGTGAAAAAAAAGCATCTTGTGGTCTTTCTTCTGGTTAAGGAAAATAGCCCACTACAGCTGTGAGGAGGTGTGCTAAACAGGCTTAGTTTTGACCCGGGAAAACAGTGATTGTTGCTGATTTGTGACCTCTAGAAGGGTAGTGTTTCCCTCCCCATTGTTAGAGCAATGATTTGCCAACCAARCCCTAGTTAGGAACAATCTCTAAATCTTGTGAATGATATATATGTCTGAAAGYTCTGCCGGGTTTGCTCAGCTGCTTTCCAGCATGCTGAAACCTAGCTTGAATGTGTAGAATGAATACCTGTAGCAATGGACTCATAAAGGAGGTATGTCTCAGCTGCAAGGCATGTTTTAATYTGTGCTCATGTCTAGGAGCAGTCCACCCTTCTCATTTCCTCTGTCTATTTAAAAAGGGATGAAAGCCCATAGAAATCATTACACTCCTTTCACAAACTCATTAAAACTATACCAAATCTTATGTAGTGTTTGCAAAGCCMCAAATATGACATTACTCACCCTCTGCCCAGGCAATAATTTTGGCCCAAAGAGGTCTCAGTTGTTAAGAGGACACCTCTTCAAAAGAAGTAGGGCAAAATGAATAAGCCRTTTAGTTGATTTGCTGGAAAATGCCAAATTTTAGGTGGGACCTTTTTCATGAGGAATGCCTTAGTGATGACATTGCTGCACRGTGTCTTCTGTGTGTGATCACGTGGAGAGGAAAGGGAGATGCAGTATGGCAGAAGGTATTAAGGTGAGCTGTGGTCAGGCAGAGGGGTTGGTTCTTCTACTTTTTCAGACTGTTGACAGCTTGTGGTTTAAAGATGCCCTTCCCCCTTCCAGTCTGCTTGTTAGATCATGTGTTGYTTTGCGATTATCTTGCTGAAGCAAATAAATGTGTTGTACCTCTTCCTGGGCAAAATCAGATTATTACAGCTAAAGAAGCAATCCAAAATCTCAAACCAAAACCTTTTCTTCAAGGAAGAAAATAAATGAGATTGTGATGCAGGCAAAGGTGTTTGTGATTGGTAATGATTGTATTGCAGTGACTCTGATGCTGTTTTCTGTCACATCTGTTCTTAGAGACTTGGACTTCTGTCTGTGCTCAGTGCCTTCTGTTTGAGAGAGCACTACTCAGTCCAGGAAAGAACAGAGTTGCTTTCTGTATGATTGTGCTCTCTAGCATGAGAATTGTCTTGAGTGAAAATACTATTTTTTTTTTTTTACTTGTTGACTTCTCCTGATTTTTATCTATGGATGCCAAAACAAAATACCCTATCTAAAAGACAKAGATTACTGCTGAGAATTTACTTTCATTAGTTGTAACCTCTTTGCTTCCAGGTACCAGTGAAAAAACCACARCTTCTCCAGCTGTTTTTCAAATGTTGCTGTGGAAATCTCCTCCCTGGAAAGCCCACAAAAGTTCACTCTTTTTGTTTCCTCATAGGTGACTCCAGGTAGCAAAGCCGCAATAGCCAACTTGTGTATAGGAGACCAGATCATAGCCATTGATGGAGTGAACACAGATAACATGACACACCTTGAGGCACAAAACAAAATCAAGTGTTGCACAGATGAACTAACTCTGACAGTCAGCAGGTACGTRGCTAAGTAAGACTGGGGCTGGCGAGAGGGAGGGTGGGCAGTAGCTGTGTTTTGGTTTGACAGTAGACCTCTCTGGCTGGTTTAATATGACCTCTTAGTGCTTTGGCAGGTGCTTGCTAGCAAGAGGGAATTGCATTTCATCCTTTAATCCTAATACTGTTTGCATTTGCTGCACTTTGACCTTATGAAAACAACTTTCCAAGTGAGGATTTGCTGATAATTTATGGCAGAGTCTGYCTGCTTATTCTGTGGCTCCTGGCAGTAAGAAACCAGAGATGGTCTCATGAAAACTTCACTCATAGCAGAGGAGGTGCAACCAGAGGTGGCCTTCCTTCCTGTTGCACTGATTTAGCAGTTAAAATATATGCTCATGTGTTTTTCCAAGCCATTAATTGCCAAGTTTCTGCCATGCACAGTCTCAGAAATGTGCATTTTGAAGCCTCTTGATCAAACAGCACTGTCAGATTTAAACAGGGATGGCCCAGGGTGCAATGAAGGTCTTCTTAGACATCAGTCTCTCCAAGTCTTGAAAAATTAAAGGAAGGTGACACCTGAGCCACAATTTCTGTCACTAGTGTAGAGCACAGGCTGGTTTCAGCCTTCCCACCATCTTGAACTGCTGACCAATGGACAGCTTCAGTCCTTTCCTTAGCCATGGATGTTCTTGGACCATCTTTGTACAGAGAGGAAATGGAGATGGGAAGGCAGGGGTCTGCTTTGTATTGACCTGTTTCTGCTTAAATGAGCTGGAGCCTGGTTTTTTCAAGGGTACTGAGGATTGATTTATCCTTCCCTTTGGTTTGAATTGCAGCCACAGGTGCCAGCACTTTTCAAAGTCAGATGATAGATGCAGTGTGGCATTTCTAGTTGATCTGGAGTGAGTTTTTCCTGCGCCTGCCTTCTCTCAGAATGATCATCCATCAGTTTCAGGGCAGATGGCACGGGAAGTACTTTCAAAAGGAGTGCAAAAGCATGCCTTAAAKGATTCAGTGGGACAGTTGTTCAGGGCTTTTCTGTGACAGACAGAAGTCTTTACCATAGCTCGGACAATGCCAGGAGTTCAGCAGGCATTTCCCAGTTCTGGAAGAAGCAATGGGTCTTGGCCAAAAAAGTCCGATGGTTCATTGAGGGAATTCACAGATGGAAGAATGGAACACTTTGCAGGCAGTGTGAATGGGTGGTTGCAGCAGCCTGTTAATCCCAGAGTTTTCATACTGGCCTTGAATTTAGCAACGTGTAATCTTCCTGCAAAGGAGTGTTCCTTTTCCTCTCCAAAATATCCRGCTTCTTGACTTGGCAAAGCAGTGCCATGTGGTTCTGGCTGGGAGAGAAGAAGAGAGGCAAGGGCTCTTTCAGCCTGCAGGCAAGTTCACTCTTACAGATCATTGAGTCTGTAAAATGTGTTTGCTAATGTTAATTACAAAGTCGTTAAGTTTATAGCTACCCCATGCACGTTTCATTGGCCTTGGGTATGGAAGCTGCCCAGGAAGAGATTTCTAGCTGGATCTGCAGCTGTGTAAAATTGTGCAGGGGCTTTAAGTTTACACAGTCCAACTTTCAAGATCCCCTTTCAATGAGGTAGCATTAGTGTATGTTGGATGCTTCTGCTGCTATATTGATCACTGCTGACCAAGAATGGCCAAGAAGAGTGTCAAAACTGCAAGGATGTGAAAGCAGTGAAATGAGAGACAGCTGAACTGAGACAGGAGCTGTTTTTTACTTTGCAAGCTAAGGTCTTAAAATGAAAGGTCTTGAGAGGATGTCTAGAGATATGACAGAGAAAGCATTTTAGAAGACCTGGAGCYGTGATTCATCTTTGTGCTCAACTTAGAGGAAATGGGTGAGGAAAGCGGACTATAGGGTGATGGTGGGCCCTCCTCTGTGAAGAAGGGAAGGGCATTGCCATGGAGGTGGAGAGGATGGAAGGCTCTTGGGGAAAATGAGTGCCACCTGGCCAAGTGATATGCATTGGGCTTCCTGAGCCTTTGTGGGCACAACTCTGTCACTARGGCTTGACCATACAGTTGGTTCCACTTGGTCCCACAATGCAATCAGGTCAGAGCTGGAAGTTTTTTCTCTGTCAAAGTAGCTCTGTTAGTAGTTGTCTGAGTATGGAAAGAAATGTATATCATTTGAGCTTCAATGCCAGTTGTCTGAGTATGGAAAGAAATGTATATCATTTGAGCTTCAACGCCACCAACCCTTGGGTCTGGTCTCCACGCTGTGCAGTTGTGGCTTGTTAGCTGAATTGGTTGTACCAAGGAGCTGTGCTGGCACAGACCATTGCTCTGACAGGGCAGTGCCTCTGTGGGCTGGAATTTCACACAGTTGGTGTGAGGGTGTGCCCAGCTGTGCCAGGTTTTCTGGAGTGAGCAGTGTTCCAGTCCTTTTCTACTTGCCATTGGAGAGATGTCTTGTGAAAGCATAAACCCTTAGGGATTTTTCAATTCCTAACCRATGAATTTTTAATGATTACTTATTTAAATGATTACCCATGCTCAATATTCTCTGACCTGCATTCAGAGTGACAGCAGCRTTGTGCAAGGTGGGATTACAGACACAGGTCTGAGCTCACACATGGTGTTTCAGTTTCACCGAAGGATCAACACCATTGTGACAGTGGAGACTTCATTTGTGACTGTGCTGTAAATGTGAGGAGAATATGTGGCTTGAAGAGCCTAGGGGTGAATTTTAGTGCAAGACAAATATTTAAATGAAAATATATTCAGTGGAGATACCTATGCTACAGAAAGCCTTTAAGCTAGGAGAGTGTTTCATGGAAGTACTGTAATTTGCTTGTCTTTTTCATGTGCTTTTCTGTGAAGCAAATAGGAAACTCTCTTCTCTTTTAATGATAGCCAAGCAGTTAAGAAGTCTTCATGTTGGGCTTACTAATGATTATTTAAGAGAAGTGTAAATATAGAGAATTGAAAGGACTTAAACACTTCTGGTAAAGGAAATGCTGTTTGCACAGTCTGCTTGATTGTGTATATCAACAACATTCCAATGTTTCCTGTTTCGCTGTTTTTCTTAACTATGGTAGCAGTCCAAAAATATTTCAGATCAGATTGTAGGCAGGAAATTTAGTCTAACACAAGTCACCATTAAAAATGGATCAACTTTCTGGCTGAAGAAAACATACCTGGTCTGCTTTTTCACCCAAAGGGGCAAATCTATTAGTTTTTTAGGATTTAAAACCCAGCCGCAAATTGTTTTCTCTGGATACTCTTTTCTAAGTGGCACTGCCTTGTGCTTCATGAACAGARTTGGAAAGGTCTGTCTTCTGCCTTGAAAGTGGGTTTCCAACMATGTTGGTGTATGTAACATGGAATTCCCACTGAACTCCTTGTCTAGCAGCTCCCACTCTTTTCTGCGCTTGTATTTGTCCATTCATTTTGCTTTTTGTTTCAAGAGAAATGTAGTTTCCAAGCTGCCAAAATAAAGGTTCTGTTAGACTCTTCAGCAGTATAAAATCAGGCTCRAGACAGTGTGCTTCAGTCAACTCAAGCCCACCTGGTTGCTGAATGGAGAAATTCATAGGGAGATTTTTGAGTCTCTCCCGTTCATAGGAAAAATGAAGTTTTGAGTCTTTGAGAAGAACTACTTCTCTTTTTCCTGGTGATTTTTTTTTCAAATTAGGGTGTGAACATCACTTCACTGACATTTTAGAGTTGAGCAAAGCCTTGCTCCAGACTGCTCTCCATTAATAGGGATGAGCAGCAAGGTGTATCCARCAGATTGGAGAAACACTAAATTTCCAGAGGAAGTTGATAGCTGTTTTGAGTAAGATGTTTCCCCTGGTAAAGAACATTCAAAGAAAGGAAGGTTCAGGAGGAAAAAATATTCCTACCACAAAATTAATATGATAGCCAAAAGAGCCAGGCATCACCTATGTCAGTGGAAATGCTCACGATAAATTTGACACACAGCTCTGTTCTTGCTGCAGATGCGCAAAAGCCGACAAATTTTCATTGTAGCACAGGTGAAAATTATTTCTTAAACAAATCAGGTGAAAATTATTTCTTAAACAAAWGCCTCTTTGCCTGTGGCTATAGTCACCAAATGGGTGGTGGAATTGTGCAGCCCTGAGTAGCTCAGGGGTAAAGTGTATATTTATCTAGGATTTTTTTCCAACAAAGAAAGTATTCTATAGTGAATCTGCCCTTGCCTTTGTGTCTCAAGGCAGTTTGGGGGTTGTAGAGGGATAGAGGAGAATATTTATGAAAAGGGATTGAAAATATGTCATCTCTTGTTCTGCTCCTACTGTCATTTTCTTCAAATTTTGAGCTTCTTTTCTGCAGCTCTGCTGCTAGTTTATAATATATTAATGCACCTTTTTTTTGTTTACAAAATAGTCTTTTAAATTGCTGAAAGTGCTGCCAAGGAGTGAAGTTATGTGTTTGTTCTTTGAAAAGTGCTAGAATCAGGGAAGTCAGATCTGCTATCAGGACATGTTAAATGGGTTGTCAGAAAGGATCATGTGTAGATGCTTATGAAGAAGAGAGCACATGTGTGATGCCCTCTACATTTTATGTGGAAGGTTTGGTTGCAATCTTGCGTGCTCCATGTATTCCCAGTCTGAGCTGTGGGRAATAGTTGCACAAAGCCACAATAGGCTTGGATTTCTGTTCTAGGAAGTTGGTGGAATCCGTTGACTCATTTAGGTTTGCTTTTTTGCTTCCCTGCCAAGCAGAGTTTTCCAGTTCTGTCATCGTACTAATAATTCCTTTGGSCCTGGGAAAAGCCAGCTGCTCAGTATGCAGCTATATAAGGCCATGCAGGTTGCCTGGGTCTCTGTGGCTGCTCCCAGCCTCTCCATGGCTGGTGTGCTGCTCCCAGCAGCTTTCACTAACAATTGGTACCTTCAAAGTAATTTTGGCAAATCATGATTGATATTTGTTKTGATTTTACAGCCTCTTGGGTGAGGCAGTAACAGTTAACTGCAGTTGGCTAATGGAAGAACAGTGTGACTGAGCAGTGAGGCATGTCTTAGACTTTGTAGCTGTCAGGAATCTGCTCGAGATAACCTTCTTTTGCTTCTTCTGTGTAACTAGAGTTGCCTTTTTTGTTTCAGTGATTGTCTACAGAGATACCTGAAATGCAAGAGGGTCGAGCATGGAGAAATATGTTTGGGGCCTCCTGTTCTAGGAAGTGTGGCTGTCATTACTGTTTGAATTGGCAATGAGTTGCATGCAGCCTGAGTACAGCTTTGCTTGCCAAAGTGAATATGTTCATTTTACGGGTGGTTGTTAAAGGTGACTACTCATGTTTAAAGCCAGGGGCTTGTATTTTGCTGCTGTTTAGCTAAAAGACTGATTAAAAGATGCCTTCCTGGTAGCCTGAGAGCTCTTGTAGTTAGTTTCTAAACATTGTTAAAATGCCTGTCTAAAACTCTGGCGAGAAGATTGTGCAAGATAAATTCTTTAGGTCTTTCCTCATTTTTCAGCTAACAAACTTTAGCTGAAACTCAGCTGCACAAGAAATGTTTCAGTCTTCTGGAGTTTATTTACTTTGGTATCTGAATTTTGTCCATCCCACTGTTTCAAATGAGAATGTAGATGTGCCTTACTTCTTTATGAAAATTACACAGTTCCTGGCACAAAGAATTAAACCCTCGTTTTCCAGCTCTGTGAATTTTCCCTTGAAGCTATGGCCCAACTTTGCATGCAAAGCACTGATAGCAAAACCTAGGCTCTAGTAATGTTTATATTACATCATATTCAAGCCAAGCTGCTTGAAAAGTGTTGTTTCAGAAATACTCTCCAGATTCCTGCCTTGATTTGCATGCCATTTCCTTCCTTCTTTTCCTACCAGTACCTCTGCATCCAGACTASCTTCAGAGAAGTTTCTGTGTAATCTTAGGTCTTGGTTTCTGCCTGGATGAAATAGAAGATGCATGGCTCAGTGCCTGGCCCTGTCTTGGTTGCTTTCTATCCTGTAGTAAGGAAACAGCATGGAAATGGGAACTGCAAACGTGACRAAGTTTGTATATGCATGTGCCTGCAATTAATTTGCTTGACCCTCATTCTCAGGCTTCTTTGTGTCATGTTTTTGTCTTCCTGCACTGTTAGCAGGAAGTTGCTCTCTGATGGAGTCTCATTTGAAAGAATATGCATTAGAAACAATATTATAAAATAATTATTCATCAATTTATCATGAGTCTCTGAGATCTGATAAGGATGCCAAAACCTCTGGCTTTTACCAGACAGGCTGGGATTCCCCAGCAGGCTGTTGGACTTCCAGCCCCTCTGCCAGTGACGGGGGAGGTCTGGCAGCCCTGCTAGCATGGCTGTGCTCCCTGGAAGGAGTACAGTCTTGCTGAGGGGAACATGGTGTTTTTTTGGTTGGGGGCCTTCTCCCTCAAATTTGGGGGAAAAAAGTCCTCCAGAAAGCCATTACCAGTAGCAGCCTGGTGTGAACTGAAGGTACTTCAGTTACCAAGGCTTGGTTTAGCTATCTGCTCTGACACCCATTCTCTCCTTCATATAACTAAAATATGAAAACATATAGATAAGATACAAACATGGTGATCTTATAGATAAAATACAAACAAATCTGCCCTGCTCTCTATGCCTGGTGCCCACATTTGTCAGTGCTGCCCAAAGTAAGCCCTGGGCCMGTAGTGGGACATGAGGTGAATTTTYAGGTGCTATTTTTCTTCCTCCTGCCACACTTCAGTAGAATTACAGGCATTAACACCAGGTGCAGAGCCAGGAAACCCTTGCTGAGAGYTGGGACCATAGTGGTCCTACTTAAGACCCACAGACCATGGGCTCCACAGGTGGTGCAGTGGGATGGGGCACATGCCTGGAAAGGTCTGCTGGGTAAAGTCAGGGAGAGCAAAGCTGTGTCCTTTTGTCCACTTCACTGGGACCATAAATGGGCTGCTCAGAGTGGGTGAGGGGCTCTGCCGCAGCTGTTGTGAAGACAAAGGGAAGCTTTRTCCTCCCTGCCTTAGAGGGACAGATGCATGGCCTATTTAACATTTCTGTTTGGATAACTTTTAGACTGAATTGAAAGTAAAGCTTGGACTGGCCTTGTTGCTTCCATTTATATCCAGTGACAGGGCAGAATGGCAGCAAGCAAGGAGACAAGATTGAGCTATTTGCCTTGCTTATAAATAAAGGAGAGAAATCTGGTCAAAATTCCCTGTGGGCTGCAGTAGTTGGCCGTAGCTGCCTCTCCTACACTGGAGACCAATGTGCTGGGCCACCAGCACCTCAAACACATTGAGTGAGGGGCAGTGGGATAAAAGCAAGTGCCTGAGGGGAAGTTTCTGTTCTGTATTCATACTCTGGCCTGCTCTAAGCTTTAATTTTTCAGTCTGAGTAAAATGTTCTGGTACTTGTTAAAGTTTATAATATTAAACTGCTGTAAAAGAAAATGCTTCCTCAAAAGATCTTGGATCACTGCTGTGAGAACAGGCACAGGGATGCCTCATGCTAGAAATCAGCTGAAGTGTTTAATGCTCTCTGAGCTGCTCTTTCATCTCCAGCCTATGTTCCTTTGCTTATAGCCTGGATGTCAGGGTGTCTGATTTCCTTATATTTTGCTGTGTCCCCTGTTTTTCTGGAGGAGATGAAACTTAGACGTACCTTAAAGTACAGGCTGCCAAAAGCAAGAAGGGAGTGGTTGTTTTGTATTCACCTGAGGCATGTTGTGCATTCAGTAACAGCAGCTGTTGTGACAAGTTGATGGTCAGATTGGTGTGGATCTGATTCTGTGCAGCTTTCACAGTCATACTTGCCTCTGTGTGCCCCAGCTTGCCAGACAGCAGGATTTGAGTGGCATAGGTTGTCAGGTATCAGCACTGCAGCTGGACCTGCAGGRTGCAATAACCAGGAGTCAAAGGTTTGCTGTACCTGAATGCCCGTAAAGGATACCTGGTGTGACCCATGTGCTTGTACTTTCCTCTTAAAGTAGGTACAGCACAGCAGACTTCATTCAGGTTTAATCTGGGTAAAGTCCACAGTGCAATAAAAAAAATAGCAGGTCAATAAAACTCTTCCTCTTCCCTGCCTGAGAATGGTGCCTCCCATCTCCTCCCACAAGAGCTTTTCTCTGGGTGCAAGTACTAAAGTACTATTTGTGCAGCAAATGTGTGGGACATATATGTGCACCTCAGCAAGTATGGGCTGTTTAAAAATATTGGAGGACTTTGGAGGACTTTTAGGGTAATGGTGCAGACCAGATTGAATATATTGTGGGCAGCTCTATACCCTGTTTCTCCATTCTTCTCAGTTTTATAAGCCTTTTCTGTTTCTAGTTTCTTTCTTCTTTAACTGGAAAATCTCCAGTTATCCAGTTAATTCTCAGTGGAATCATTCTTGTTTTGTTAACTAAGTACTTAAATTATAGCCAGTCCTTGACCCACAAATACCTAGGAAGTACATCTGTCTGCAGTTGCAGATTCCAGAAAGGGCTCCTGTCAACAGGACAGGACAAGGTTTTCAGACCTCATCCTAAGAGTTTATTGGCCATCTGGTTGCTGCATCATGCAATGCTTAGCATTGAAAGCRGTTTTAATTCAGCCATAACGAAGTCACTCATGCCCTGTTATTAAAAAGTTTGGGGAAAATGGCACTRTTCAGTCCATCTGAGATGCTAGCTACTGTCTGTAGTGAGAAATGGAGGTACCATATGTTTCCCACAAAGTATTTCAAGCAAATCCAAGCACTCTGCTTCTTCCTCASCACTTGTTTGTCATTCTTTGGGACAGCAACATTCCACAATGATGATGGTAAAAGCAGTTGGTTTTAGTTGTAGACCTTGACTTGTGTTGCAGAGTGCTGTGAGTAATTGGGTCAGACCACAGACCAGTAAAGTTTATGTAGACTTTCTCTGATGTATGATGTCATCTCAGTTCTTAGTGCCATTCCAGACTGTGATCTTCTTTTTTTTTTTTTTTTCATATTTCCCATAAGCTTCTGTTTGTTCAACATGGATACCATTATAAATAACAACAAAATTCTGGAGACCCAAAAGAAAAAATATTTCTGGCTTATCTGTAAGGCAGTCCAACTTCAGGAACAGAATGTTCTCTGTATAGTCAATACAGAGAAGAATCATTAGTTTCCCTGACCCGTAAAAGCTGAAACATACAGCAGTCTGAATTGTTTAATTAAGGGATCTGCATCTTAGGGTTATCTCCAGCTTCTGCTCTTGGGTAACCCCCAGCTTAACAGCCTGGGTGGGAGCCCATGCCTGAAGTGTTGTCTGTGGAGTCACAAAGGATAAGCCAGGACAGTCACTGCTGAGATCTTGTCTTACTCCAAGGATTTCATGCAGTATATCTAAGCCATCCATGCTGTGTCCATAAAAGGAGGCTGTCTAGATTCCTCGTGATGTAGATTGTGCTGTAYATGAGCGACTGCAGAAATGTTTGAGAAATTGATGAACTTTGAGTCTTAACAGCAACAATAAGGCTCACTAATGACAACAGATTAAATATTCAAAATTTTTGTGTTGCAGATCGGAGGCAAAAGTCTGGTCACCACTTGTAAATGAGGAGGGAAAGACAAATCCTTACAAGATGAATCTGGCCTCTGAGCCACAGGTAAGTACTGGAGTAACTGTCTGTTCTTGTTCCCTCTTGCTCCTGTGAGAGAAGTTCTTGGCCCGATGCTCTGAGGAGCTGAGCATGTGCTACACTGTTGGTCGTGGTGGGGATAGCACCATGCCCCATACCATCTAGAGATCATGTGGCCCTTGGAAGCCTTGAGAGACAGACTCCCTCCCTCATGGTGAGAAGCCTGCTGCTGTGGAGAGCTAGTCAGGTACCATGCCAAAGTATCCTGCTTGGGYCAGAGGCACCTCCTGCCATCTGCATGCTCACACCCTCCACAGGGCACAGAAGACACTGTAGAGGTGGCTCAGTAAATCATTGCTGCTGTGCTAAGCCAGTTGGTTCTCATAGAKAGAAAGGTCATGAGGGGTGAGGAATATTATTCACTCTTTCAGTGCTTTCTGTTGGTTTGGATTTTTTTTCTCTTATTCAGCAGGCTTTTAGCAGTCTAGCTGTGGAGAAAGTGGAAGGGAAATATACCAGCATCTTAGTTTTTTATCTGTGTGGCAGATCATGCACCCTCTGTCTAAGAATTTGGTTTTGTAACCTGTTGATAGYCTTGCTTCATTGGCCTACTACCTGTGTCAATTAAATGTAGTAATAACAGCAATCAGTGCAAGGGCATTGCCTGGGCTAGGTTTTGAGATTACACTACAAAAATCTATAATAACTTCCCTAAAATCAGTGGCATTCCTCTGGATTTTCACTGGGGCAGTGACATGGATTGTGGCCCTAGCACAAATCTCATGTGAGTCTTTCTAGCAAAATAAGTAGATTGTAAAACTAGTTTGATTCTGCAATTAATTAGGCACTAATATGGCTGTTTCAGTWGGAAAGAACCTGAGACTAAAGCAGCACATGTGCAGCAACACCTTGCCCAGAGCTTGGCCTGGGATCTGTCCATGTTCTCTTTCACATCAGGCTGCTCTGTGTTGCTTGGCCCGAGTGTGGCATTCTCCAGGTATAACTCAGCCAAGGCACAGTGTGAGACTAGCCATTTGTTCTTAGCTTCAGCTGGGGCCATGTGGTGACACCTGTCTGTGACTCTGTTGATCTGAGGTCTAGTCTGTGTCTTCTGCTGCCCAGGTTTTGGAAAGGCTTTGCTTTAACCTTGTGACTTGGGGGCTATCTCTTGCCAAAGGAGTGGGGCAGAGTCTTGCACCGAGGCTTTGCTGCAAGGATGCAAAGAGCTGTCGTTTAATTCAGCAGGAGACTCAGTCCTAGAGACCAATTTCCCAATGCAGCCATCAGGAAGAATTTAGCTAATACCACAAAATTAAACAYAGGGCACAGCACATGCCTCAAGCAGGAGTTTAAAGTAGCTCACTGATTTTAGTTAACAGGAGCAAGAAACCTGCTGCTGCAGCCCCTCTGTCACTTACTGCCTCAGCACACAATTCCCTCCAGTTCAGCTTGGATAGATAGTCAGGATTTAGCAGTAATGCTGGTGATGGAGCACATCCCCTCCTAACCCTAACCTCAGTCTTAGTCTTGGTTTTAGCTCTGGCCAATGGATAGATACTGCTAGTTTGTAAGTATAGTACAACTGAATTTATTGGAAGCCACCTGTAACTGACTTGAGCAGGAGAATTTGATGTCAAACTGTGTGTGGAGAGATTGTAACAAAGCTCATCTCTGAGCAGTGACCATGGTCTGACTCCTGCTGGAGCTGTGGCAAGTGTCAGCCAAGTTGCTCTGGGGCCATGTCTTTGCAGCATCATCAGGGATTTTGGCCAGGCCTGCTGCAAATCAGCAGTAGCAGAGTGCAGAAGATGCTGTGTGTATGTACACCAACATGGCAAACTGCTATGAATTTTACCACAGAGATGCTGATCTCATATTTCCAGCAGGACTGGTTGAAGCTGTGAGTAGAGCTGAATCTTCGAAGGCAGTGCTGAGCTGTTCAGGTTTTTTTAATTTGCTGGCCAGTGAAAACAGTGTATTTGCTTTTCTTGGCAACAGTCTAGTGCAGAAAACGTATTAATTCACTTACAAAAGAAAACAGGACGTGCTGAGTCCAAGTGGTTCATTTAAGTCCTGATCCAGGGTCCTCTTGACAGTGTTCTCATTGGCTTTGCGCACAGCCCTTTGAGTGCAGATGAAAAATCATATTGAATAGCCTTACTTCAGGCTCAAAAAAAAAAGAAGTCTTAAAAACTCTTATGGTAGAAATTATTCAGATATGTTWCCACCTTTCATAGAATTAGTTTGTGAGATGTTGTCTCTCCTACCTTCAGTGTCTTAGAAATTTTTCATGTTTGTCCACCTTTTTGTCTTCCCATTTTTTTGATGCAGCTACTAGATCTTAGCAAAAAATCTTGCAAAATAACTTAATTTTCAATTTGTCTCAAGAACTAGTGCTAAAGAACTTGTCTATGACTAGCTATGTTTTTTAAGATCCCTTTGAAACTGACTGTTTGTTAACTGCTGTAATGCTTTTGGAGGCTGATATTGGGTGACGTGCTGCATCATGCCTGTGGAAGTGTTTCCCCTTACTTGGAATGTAAGTTCAAGATACTTTTATTTGCCTTTGGAAAATAAAAAGGCATTCTACAGCCTCCCATGCATTCCCCRAAGTCCTGAATCAAAAGACTGGCTTCATTGTCTAAGCTGACCTTTGCCCATGAAAGAGCTCCAGTCTTACTGTTATTTCATTGCCATTAGCCTTATCTTTCTAAATTAATTTAAACCGAGGCAAGAGTGATGACAAAATTGCATTTCATCAAAAGGTGTAGCAGCTTGTCGGTCGTRATGGCTCAGCAGCTGACCTAGCTTTGTTTTGGTGTGCCCATGGCAACATTGGAGGAAGGAAATGACAGTGTTCTTAGTGTATTTACTCAGTTATTTCACTTGCACTTCTAACCCAGATCCTAAGGGTGATTGCTCAGTGGCATTTTCCCATCAGGAACTTTTCCTCACAACAGTGGGAAAGACTAAAATAACATGTCTGCCGCTCCCTTCTGCTTCGTGTCTCTTGAGAAAAGCGGTCACAGCAAGAGAGAACAAGTTACTTGGTGACTAAGGTGATTTTAATGCTTATGATACTGRCCAGAGACCATCCTAACTTTGAGTCAGCCATGCTCTTAGGTGGTCTTGGGCCAGGCAGTAAGATCTGTACCAATGTGCAGAGCTGTATTGCCTCTTGGTAAAATAAAGAGTAAAATTCTGTATCTCTTGTAGGTCTTGTCAGACCTGGGCTGTCTCTTTTCTTTTTGTTCCTTTGTTTGGRTATTTTTAGTATTGTTGTGGGGGTTTTTTGTAAGAGACAGATGTCAGTGGGGTCCAGGTCTCTGTTTTTACCAAGTGATCTAATGTAGGGAAAGAGCTGAGAGTCCAGCTTCAAGGGCAGTGGACGCCTGGACTGTCTCCAAAAGCTTGTCCAGCTCTCTGAAGGCTATATATCCCATTTGCAATAAGTCACAAGTATTAACATCAGACCTCGAGAATATCAGTGAAAACTCTTGGTTTGAGATRGATAGTTCAACTCTTCTTAATCACAAAAAGTAAGGGCTTTCAAACATAAGGATTTTTTTTTTTAATAGAAATAACTTTCAGACAGAGGTTAGCAGCTGGAGGACCTCTRAGTCAGGTATTTTTAGGATGAGAGAACCAAACAGCCACTTCTGTCTTACCAGGACGTCTTAAAAGTGTCTGTCGTGTGCTCATCCTTATCCTTGCAGAGTGATGTCATTGTTTCCGTCTTGTGTTATTTTATTTCCTTGGATACAAAGCAGGCGGGAGCTATAGAAACTGGGTGTGTGGCTGCCTTGGCCTTTGATAAGGCCATGCATGTGTGGGCAATGCGTGTGAAGCAATGGGTATATAAAGTAACAACACTGTTTGACACAGGGAACTGTGCTGGCATATCGCGACCTGCTGGTTTTGGTTAAAAGGCGTTACTGCATGGGTGTGGAATGTGTCAGGGACATGGAGGGAGAGGATGTGGGAAGCCAATCTTGTTTTTTTACCCCCCTACAATAACAAAACCCCAAACCCTTCCTGATTTTWAATCAGATTTCAAAGCATTGCAAAAGATCTTTCCATAGCTGAAAAACCCCAAACAATAACAGAGGGAGAGGTGAAAGTAAAGGCACTTCTTAATACTTGTGATTGCAGCTGATGAAACATAGCATGGGGTAGAGTTTGCCATGAAGATGTCCTCTCCTGCGTGTTTGGCACGAGCAGCCTCCCCCAGACACGCCAGCTGGTCACGCATACAGCCTTTGCTCCCTGGGTGGCTTCAYAGGGGTAAGGATGGAGTGGGGGTTTGCCTGCTGGTCTCTGCTCTCCTTTGYTGCCTGCAGGACCAGAGTGCTCTCCCTCCCTGAGGTTTGGTCAAGGTCCCGTYTTCTTAGAGCTGAGTAAACATTTATACTGAGAAATGTTTAATCTTGTTTCCTTTTGGCRTGGCTCTCGAGGTGTGCAATCCAGCATTGCCCGCCCCAAGCTTCTGGGCTCTGACTTGGCATGCAAAAACATCCCACATTTCTGAGGCCTTGTGAGGCAGTGAGTTCTGCTGGCTCACTTGGCTGCTCCAGGGTGCTGATTTATATATATATATAGATAGATAGATGTACAGATAGATATGTAGATATACATATATATGAGGGGTTTTTTTGTTTATTGTTTTTTTTTTAAATTTTGTGGCATGAGGTCAGAATGAATCCCCTGACTCCAAGAGCTGAATCTTTAGTAAATAACTATACTGACCAGTCTCTCAATCACTACTGCACACCTGAAACTAGTTTTTGGCTTCAAGCAGCCTCCTGCTCCATATTTGGCCTCTCTTTCCTCCAGAGACTGCAGAGAGGTAGCCTGGGAAGGGTCAGGGGGCAGGCAGGGTAGTGAGGGTGTTGTTGGTGTGGTGGCAGTGGGGCATTAGCCAGCACCTCTGAGAGTGCAGAGCAGCTGGATGCCTTCAGGCCATACTGTGGGGAGAGGAAAGCCCCACTTATGGGAGAGGCTGTCTGACCCCTCACATTGTGGTGTAGTTTATTTAGTGAGTACAAAAAGCCTCCAGATTTTTCCTGTTTTGGGTGGTGGTGAAGTCAGTGCAGCCAGGATGGCCTTGGCCACATCACTTAGGGTGGAAGGGAGCTAAAGGCCCACCCTCACCCCAGTATGCTCCCAAACTGCTCGAGGGCACGAGGCCATGGAGGTGTCCAGATGGCTTTATGCCACTGGTGCACAGGATGAGCCCCAGCTCCACCAACAGAGGTGGCTCATCCTGGGTTGGATGTCTGTCTGACTGCTTCACTGACAGCTGGGAATTTCTCTGGAGACCCATGCCCTCATTCCTGGGAGGAACAGGTCCAGAGGTGGTGGCACTGGGGAGAAGGAAGCAGTTGTCTGTAGCATAAACCAGTGGCTGGCCCCAGACCCAGAAGTGACAGCAGATGTAGCTGTGGGGATTTCACAGCCTGAGTGTCAGCATTGCTGAKGATGGCCTCATATGAGAGGGAGGAAGGGGCCATTGTTTTCCCAGATAATTCCCCATGACGCAGTCTGCAGCTGGTGCAATAGGAAATGCTGATCTGCTTCCTGCCCCGACACAGTCTGGCACCTTTGCTGGCAGCTCTCTGCTGGGAGGGCTGCGGTGATGGTGGTGGAACTCCTTAGCACCCAGCTTGAATGGCCATGGTGGAGTGCCTGCAGCACACAGCTAGGTCCCATCTGCCTCTGGAGAGGGCTGCAGCCACTCACAGCCGGCACCCAGAAAACTCACCTGGCAGAAGATGTGCATACTGACCAGTAGCTGGGGTCCTACGAACATTGTTGTCCTTGGGATTGAAAAAWAGCTTCTTCTGTGAGATGGGGACTTTTGTAGTGGTGCTTGGAGGCATGGGGTTGTGCTCCATAGCTTCTTGGAGCTTGTAGACAGGATAGTTTCTGGTGGGAAGGGAGCGTTGAAGAAATGGCTTCATTTTCAAAGTGAAGCGAGAGTTCAGAAGCAGCTGGCAGAGAAGTCTGTGCAGTTGCTCATCTGCTGTAGCTTGGTAGTCACTCTGCCAGCCCCTCTAAAAACATAACCCCTTCAAAGGAAGGAGGGGAGSAAGGCTGATGTCTTTGCAGACAAAGCCATTTAACTACCATGGTATTAGTTTATAGTGGTAAAACACTGCTCTTGCATATCCTACCTGGTGTCTTGGAAGCTTCCATACCCCAGCTTCAGACCAAAATAACCATTGCTGGTATCCCTGCTTGCTGCTGACAGGGCTGCTGTAAGGGGACTGAGGCAGTGCCACAGCTTGGCAGGGAGAGTGAAGCGAGTKCTTCCAGTTCTGCTTGCAGGTGCCCATAGAAGTTGTCTCTGAAGAGATCTAACATTAGTCATGCTCCTCTGTCATAYCCTCAAAGAAAGAGCAGGTCATGTCCTGACTGGATAAGATCATGTCCTTTTATCTGACTGCCAGTTCTTCCTTTGCAAATGGACCATTGCTTCCTGCTCTTRCAGTCTGTGCTCCAGCCAGGAATGCTGTTTAATGCTGCTTGCCCCCTATTCCTTGTGTTGGTCCTGGGATTGCCACAGCCTTAGAAATACTGCAAACCCCAGGCATCTCAAATGCATAAACTAGGTGCTGTCCCCACACATTTACACAGTATAGCTGGGTTTTTGTATTAATGTTTTCCACTTGCCTGCTGGTGGACAGGTTTTTGGGAGTGTCACTTGATTTTCTTTCTGTTATCAAGTGAGGGACTGTCACATAAAAATTATTCCAGGAGCTGGGGCTTTAACAAAACTGCTGCACAGCACAGACCCTAGATTGGCAGTTCTGGAAAATCCCTAGATAAATATATTTGACAGTTAGAACACATTGTCTTTTGATCTTGGGATCATGAAGGCACTTGTTCTTTGCAAATTCCTTTCACAGCTTGAGCAGAAAGAGCAGCATGGCTTAACAGGAAATGCTGGAGAATTTGGATTATCCAAATGCTGTTTATAATGTTACTGCTCTTGTAATACTTGTCTGTAGACTCTTGGGTTATTTACCTTCTGCACTGTTCTCCAGATGGGATTTTTCTAGTCTTCAGGCACCAGCTTCTGCATCAATTTCTCTATTTAACTGTTCTAAACTCCCTTATAGTCAGTGACTTCTATACACCTGAGAGCTCCTGCAGATGTCCCAACACTTCTGAAAGCTTGATTTGTGGTCTTGGTGTTACTACACAGCAGAAAACCTACCTGATGGCCAAAAGTAGGATAAAAGCTCCTGTGTGTCTGAGTGTGTGTTGCAGTCCTTGGAGTCAAGGCACTAACGTGATGTCAGTCTCTCTTCTACATGTAGCCACCCTATTTTCTCAAYACTTGCAGGAAGATAAGGATTCTTGAGGCCTTCATCATTGTTAAACTGATCTGGGCTTGGCTGAAAAATTCAACAAGCCCCTGTACATGTTAGGTATGTAACTGAGACACTACATTCTTAGGAAACCAGAGTTTAAAAAACCCCAACCAAACTGTAAGTTACTTCCCTTTCTCTAATTCTTGATTTAATGCTTATATGTTTCCTCAGTGCACATTGTGATGTGATTTCAACTTTGAGCATATTTGACCTAGGAGTATARCCCCTTTAGCCTACACCTTCTGCCTCAATCTCTCGTCAGACTGACTATTTATGTGCACATCTGTAACCCTCTCCCACTCATGGCTGAGGGTGGGCTAGCATGTGTTTTTAGTGCTGATATAAGATCACTTTTCCCYATGGTTTGATATACAGGCTAAAGGAATTTTTTTTTTCTAAAATCCATAGTTTTGACATGGGAAAGGCTATTTTTGCAAGTCCTGTTATGTGGTTTGAATGAGATTGCAACAAAGGGAGATTAGCTAATTACTCCAGAGTCTTTTTTTCCTTTGGTGTGTGGGAAAGCTTTATGGCTAACATCCACACACATTGGCCAGAGAGCCGTGGGAGAGCAGCCTCGTCACTCCACACCTGAACATCTTGAGCTACCCCACTGATTTCAAATGACTTGTAACTCATGATGGCGTTTGGATCCATGCYGCTCTTCTCCCAGGGATCCTATGCTCCGCTTGATGCCATAAATAGCATTCAAATGCCATGAAGTGAGATGACTCCCATCTGTCAGTCTGGGAAGGCTAGCCAGCTGCCTAAGGAAGTCTGGAGACAAAAAAAAATATTTAAAGAAAAATCTGTAGGGGGATTTAAGTCATACTTTTTTCTAATGAGTSCTTATCCTGTAACTATATCTTTATCAAACAAATGCTGTGAGATGTTCATGGGGCAGTGAAAGCTTGCATCATTGCTGTAGAAGTCGGTGTCTGTATAGAGTGGGAGTGGGAACCAGATGTGTTAATTAGAGCTGGGACCCATGGGCCCAGCATGCCAAGAAATGCCCCGTTTCATCTTGTGCCATTGGCTCTTAGCCCTGTATTGAAGCCATGCTCAATCTCTATGTCTGGCTGAAACATTTCAAAAATCATGTTTTGGAGCCCTCTCGTAGCYGTCAATATCTCATCCACCCCTTTGGCTGTTAGTCCTTTCTTATGCCTGCTCTTGTGAGGCCCCATTATATTTTCTCCTTGCTTTGGTTAAGCATCTCTGTGGGGATAAATCAGCCCTGGATGTTGTTGATCTCTGCCACTAGGCTGCTAATTCCCAGCCTGCTGAACTGGTGATGGGGCTTAGAAATGTCCTMATTTTTGTTAGCACTGCCTGTGATTAAGAAGAGTCTTGTCTCCAGTCTTATTTAACTTGGATTTGCCCCTTTTCTTATTAGATTGTWGCCTGTGTTTCTAGGTGTACGGTAATACTGCTGGAAGCCTCCAGTTTGCAGCAAACCCAGAACATCTGGGTGATATCTTGTACTTCTGACATTGAAGAAGTTGTCACTGCCTGTGGACAGTCTTTTGTATTAACAATGGTCATCTTCACACCTTTATTGTGGGAATTTCTTTTCCAGAAATTCCAAAGTTGTTCATCAAGACAGCTGTGAACCCCACTCCTAGCTGAAGGAGCAGAGATGCTTCAGAGCACTTGTAGTAATGACARATCCTTTCTTTCTGGGTTTTCTTACCTAAGGGAAGCCAAACTTTCAGATGTCATTGAGAAGYGCTCCTCTTTCTGCCCCTCATCTTCACTTTTCCCTAGAAATGAACCCTGTTGTCAGGAATTGCAAGGAATGCTTAAAATCTGTGTTCTTGCATGAGAAGGTAGGTCCTGTGGCTTACTGGAGGCTTGCAGGAACTCCCAAGTGTGCGGCACCTTGAGCTCATAGCTCTGGCAGTGTTTCTGAGCTCTTACATTCCCAGTATGTCAGTTCTGAAATATCCCTAAGGTCATCCTGAAGCCATCTGGGATGGGCCTGCACAAGAGAAGGATGCATCTGCTGTGGTGGTCATGGTCACTGCTCCTCAGCTGAGACCACATGTGAAGGCCACCACTGCAGTGGCTGTGGGGCTGCCCTGTCACATCCACCTGCATGTCTGAGCACCTCTGATTGTTGCCTCTGCTCCTTTGCATGCAGGAAATAAGGCACATAGGAAGTGCACACAATCGGAGTGCAGTGCCCTTCACTGCTGCCACAGCTTCTGCCCCCAGGGTGATCACTGCTCAGTACAACAGCCCAGCAGGCCTCTACTCCTCAGAGAACATCCAGACCTTCAACAGTGCAGTGGAGACAAAAACATCACCTGGAACCCTGGAGCCTACCAAGCCGTAAGTACCTCCCCTCCCTCCCTGGGCCTCCAGGGAAAGGCTTCAGGAGACACGACTTCACTGTGAGGTTACCTGTTTGTTAAACCCAGAAAAGCTCTCTTTCAGGACAAGGGAAGTAGAAGAGGCACAAGCATGGATGTTGTTCCCAGGGACAGAGCTCGGAGGAGCGGGGAACGTTTCCTGAGGTGCAGACGTGAAATTAATGCTGTTGTGTTTCTTTGTTTAGCAGAGACCGACGCAGTTTCCGCGTGCGTTCAGCATGACATACCAGCCCGCTGGTCTGAACAGGTGCCTGATAGCTTGTTACAAACACATCCTAAAGTTGTGTGCTGGCTTCACTGCAATGCTGGGTAGGAAAGGTACCAGCTAGTGCAGGGAGCACAGCTATGCCTGTTCCCAACTGGCCTGGGATTCTCAGACAGGCTCTGCCTCAGTTTGGGTATTTCTGTGTTTTATTATCAAATTTTGCTTTTCATAGGAGTTTCAAAATGTAGCTGAAACATTCATTCCTGTGTGAGGGGTTTTATGTATGAGATTGGAAAGGGTCCCAACCTTAAAAGGGCTTRTTAATTTTTGTGTTTTCATTGGAGGTAATAAACCTCCAATGAAAAACCTATCTGAAAGCTTTCTGTCTGTGATGGTCAGGTTGCTTAACTGCCCTAGTCTCTGCCTAGYGATACCAAACTGCCTGGAAGGCTTTGGCTATTTTTACAGTAAAAGCTGGAAGATGAGTGCTTCTGGTAATACTTSACTAAATTTCTGATTTGTGAATGGGGAGACAAAAGTAACTTAGGCCTCTGGTGTTGCAGGGTGCAAAGACCTGAGATTGTGGTTTAACACRGGCCTGAAAACGTGCACGAGTGAAACCAGCTCCTTGCACTGGCAGCCCTGTCTGCAGCATGATCTCCCTTAGGTAGTTACAGTGCTGCAGCTGCCAGACGAGGTGACAGATTGTTCCTCATTTGCTTCTGGTAGGCTCAGCAGCCTCATTCAGGGGCTGGGCAAAAGTAGAGCAAGGACAAGGAAAATCTGACTTTGCACTAACCTGATGGGACCATCTGTCAGTGAGATACCATGTCTGGTCCAGTCTGGAGTCCTCTCCATGTGAGAGCGTTCCCTGGAAGCCAGGTAGATTTGGCTGGAAAATTGTAGATGATCCCTTTCTGTTGCAGGGATCAGCAAAGAGGTGGGTTCTTGCTGGTGTGTGGCTCCCTGTGTTCCTTCTAGCAGGAAGGTCTGTTGCCAGGCCAGCTCCATCTTTTCATCTCTTTCATCTTCTCCTTGCCAAGACACAGCAAGTTGCAATGGAATGCTGGGGAAACTGTGGATGAGGCCTTTGATGCTAATATGCTTTTGTTTASAGTCATCAAAAGAAAATGAATTATTGCTGGTTTTCAGGGGAAGCCAGGGACCTCAGCCTGCCATTACAAACCCACTGTAGTGTCACCAGTGCACAAGCACAGGATGTGTAGGTTTTCCCTTCACACACCCTTCCAGTTGCCATTAAATTCCTGCCCATCTGTTTTGCCGACTTCTTTGGTACGATTCTGACCTTACTCTGGGTTTACCTGACATTTATCTGCATCCCCACCCTGCAGATACACAGCCCATCTGAACCCAGGAGCTTGATCCTGCCACTGCCCATAGTGATGTGACTGGAGACCTAGTCCATGCTTCACCCTTAGAGAGTGTGTGGTGTTAATGCAGGGCTGTAGTATATACAGAAAYAAAAGCAAGTATCTCCCCTGGATTTGACATCACAAAGCAGGTGGAAAGGGAGAAGCCCCACTGCTGAGCACATCTGGTTTGGGATGGGAGGTGAGAWTTCCTCTCAGCAGGATGCCCAGGCTAGCTCTGAGTAGGTGTGGAGGTGGCATTCCTTGTCTGGACAGTGAGACTACAAGTGTGTGCACTGGGAGTTAGTGTGGAGTGAAACCCCTGCTGGCACTTCTTCATTGCTTTTACAAGCCATGCATTTGCTTATCAGTAGAGTGCTTTTTAGTTTTTGTGTGGACACACCTGGAGTGCAAGACCAAAGCCACAGTATTAGCCAGAAGCCTTTAATGTAAAGTTGTGTATTCAGTGGTGTGTCCCTCAGACAGTATTCTGCTGCTGCTTGATGGCTTGGAGTATTTGGCTTTGTCCTTCATTAATTTTTTTTTCTTTCCTTCCTTCCTCCTCTGCGTTTTCACCTCAATTCCGCAATGTAAACCCCAAACAAACCCCAAACACCCCCACCTGACCCTGCCCGTGTGTCTGCGTGGGCCGGCAGCCACCCATCGCCGGGGGGCGCGATGCAGGCTCCCATCGCCTCGGTGTATGACCCTCTGCAGAGCTCCGAGGCGCGGCGCAGGCACAGCACCTCCTCCAGCCCCAGCCMGGTCCGAGTGGGGCCCGAGCAGCTCAAGCACGCGGCCCAGGTCTGCCCCAACAGCCCTGTGGAAGTGGATGTGCCGGGACTCAAAGTGCTGCATGTGCAGTTCAATTCTCCCCTGCAGCTCTATTCTCAGAGCAACATCATGGACACCCTGCAGGGGCAGATCTCTTCTGTTAGCCCTGATTTCCCCAGGTAACCTGCCCATGGCCTTGCAGCCAGCTCAGCATGTCTGCTCATCTGCATTTCGGTGTTTACGAGTCCCTCGTTCCTGTTTGTGGCTCATGGTATTGTCCGGTCACAAGAAAACRGCGTTTACATTTCACCCTTCCATTGTTAATGCATGACTCTCACAGGAGCTTTCTCTGCCTTATGTCCAACACCATGGGAAGCACCAAAACATGGTTTTAGCTTGTCAGTATGTCCATTGCCYCCTGCACGCCCACACAGCAGGACCTGACAGCAGCTGGTGGCTTTTCTGGAGGAGCCACTTGCAGCAGATGGGTTTGCTGAGGGTTCGAGAGCACTTCACCCTGGAAGCTGGTGTTTCTCCTGCACTTGAAATGACTTTTGTTGTTTGTGACTGGCAGGTGCTGGTAGTCTTTGTTCTTTTGTTTCACTGGCCGTGGGTGTGTGCTGATGAGCATGTTTCATTTCAGGCTGAAGCAGGTACCCGTGGTCTCAATCTTTGGCTGACAAGACTCATGAGTTTGGAGCAGCCTGGCAGGCCAGTCTGTGTTCCCACTCCTGCCCTCTTTTCTGCAGAGGTTGCTGCAGCACAGGCTCCCTCTGCCTGAAGGAAGGGACGATGCTCAACATGCTCGGAGGTCTGCAGGACCTGTGGTGAACCTGAGCATCATGAGGCCTGGGTGCTTTTTGATATCTGCTTTGTGGCACCTGGGAACCCCTGGCTTGTGCCTTTAAGTGACAGCCTTTGGGTTTTACAGGAAGGGCTTCATTGTCAGGATGGGTGAAGCAGAAAGCACATCTATCTCTTTCACAGGAGGGGTCCAGTCAAGGATGAACTGTGAACCTTCTGCTATGTGACCAAGCAGCTTGCAGCTGTGGGACATAGGATCCAGGGCAGTGGTAATCCCAGGGCCACTATRGGACAGAACAAAAGGACACAGCAAGAGCTCATGGCTCCTGGACTGCTCACAGTTCCATCTGCTAACTGTGCTTCAAAGCAGAAAGGCTGGTGTCCTCAGCCATGGACCCACACAGCCAAGCTYTGCCATGTGCCAGCAGACGAGATGTGGGAGGCTGAGGATTTACTCCTGCCTTGTTACTCAGTGTAGTTATTTGCTCAAAGTCACTGTTCTGTCTTGGAGTCAGTACCACGCATGCCAGAAGGGGTCACACTGCTGGCTCTCTTTGCTGGCCTGGAGAGCTGAGAGTGCTCACAAATGAGCCCCAGACATCAGCAATTGTTTCATGGCAAAGGGAGTTCTCCAAGCACTAGGCCCTCTGGTAGCTGAGAGATCCAGTAATGGTTGTGTTAGTCTAAAACCCGATAATGGTTGTTGGGGTGTTCTCTGTAAAGTTTCTGCTTGAGGCAACTCGTATATGGAGAAGAATACCAATTGCTGGTGATTGCTGCAGGTCAGGTACCTGTGAAACAGGAGCTGCCAAAAATCAGCCAGCATACAGACTCAGTATCTTGCACGTACAATTTCTGTGCCTGTGGCCTTGCCCTTTCAAAAGATACATGTGTTTTTTGGTGATTTTTTTTTTTTTTTAATTTAAGCAGCATAGCCTTCTGCCCAGATAGTTTGAGGTATTTTACTCTGCTGGTACAAATTTGAGTTTGATATTTTTACAGCCTTTTGGAAGTCTTGCATATGCAAGTGTACATATGGGGTGCATACCTGGGAGAGCTGGTCTGTATGTTTCACACTACCACAATGCATGGTTGTAATGTGATGGCTTTGTTTGACTGTAGTGCTTTTTAAGATGATTTAGTCCTTGCTTTTTGGATGCATGTTATTGAAACCTTCTTAGGATGCAAACTGCAATGAAAGGCTTCTTGCATAATGTTTTAATGGGTGGGTAGAGTGGTGGGAGAGTATGGGTTTACATGAGACGAATGTAATGTGGAGCATGGGACATTTTCTGTCTAATAGAAGGCACATAATTATTTTATTTTGGGTAAGAGGTTTCAGTAACTGAGATTCAGTCTTCAAAGGTTCAATTACTTGCATGTCTACTATGTTTCCTGCTCCACTGAAAATTACTAAAGATGGAAACATTTTATGAAATTCTTTCTATGGAAATAGCATGTTATAACTCATGTGATGATTTTACCTCTGATGCTTGAAGAGTTTATTATGTAGAGTAACTCCCAGATGACTCAATTACCCATTGGCATGGAAAGTATTCTGTTTCCTCAAGAAAAAGACTTCCCTCTGCAATTTAGTCTGAACTTCAGGATGTTTATGTGCTTTTCTTGCAATCACAGAGTGCAGGAATGGTGAAACCAAGTAGACCATTTACATTTATAGGTCGGCATTACAGAATTGAGCCATCAGAGGAGACTTGTCGGATACTTCATTTTATCATACATGTTTTACTGCAGCTACAGAACACAAGGGCAGGCAGGAATGTCCTGTGTGCTTTAATCCATCCCTTAGTGCAGCATTTGGCAATTKAAACCATTGATTTAAAGAATTCCTAGTGTATATTTGTCCAGGCTATTTATGATTCCTTTAGTTTGGAAGTTGATCACCTGTCATGGAGACTCCATGACAGTCTCCTCTAATATTTCAGTGTCTGTCTATTGGGAGGCTTTTCCCAAGGGATATTCTAAGTTTAAGCCTATCCTCTATGTATTGGATGTGGAGGACATCCTAGGTACTGCCTGCAGACTCTTTTTTTATCCCCAGAGACCCTTCCAGTAGCACAATGACCACCCTTTCTGCCACCCTCCCCTCTGAAAAGCTGCCCCTGCAGCACCTTGGGCTCTAAGTCCTCATCATGAGATGAGGGGTGCTTGTAGCATCTTGGGGCAGGCTTAACTTTAGCGGGCAGAAATCTCTGCCCTTGATCTGCTCATTAACTGTAGTTAAATACTGTAAATGGGCTGTGACTTAGAAACCTCCACGTGTAAAATGGAAATAGTCACACTCACTTCAAAACTAGACTAAATTATTGCCAATCAGAGAATCTTCTAGTTAGATTCTACAGCTGCTACTTTGTGAGGATGACATTTACCAATGGCCAGGGGCAAGCATCGAGAAGCTGCCGACAGCGGTGTGTGCAGACAGCCCAGCGTGCCTGTCCCACCAAGAGTGCATCCAGCACCTCTGTGTTCATGGCTCCTGTCATGTGTGTGCTTTGCACGCTCATTCTTCAGYCATATGATGCATTGGGAAAGTTTTGCTGGAGAGATTTGCTTTAGTTTTCATCTTTTTAACRGGAGTATTCTTTGTTCCTTCCTCAGCTTAGATCAGCATAACCAGACCCCAGGCAACATTGCCATAGACAAACAATCTGAGGTTTACAAGATGCTGCAGGAGAATCAAGAGTCAAATGAGCCACCCAGACAATCTGCTTCATTCCTCGTATTGCAAGAGATCTTGGAGTCAGAAGAGAAAGGTGAGTACTTATTGCACACCTGATGAGTGTGCTATTCCCCTCTGCCATTCTTCAGGCTAAGTAACATTTAAAACTTTATTTTCCTTTTAGCTGTTGTTTGTTCAAGTAGCATGTGTAGGTGGTTTTTACAGAAACCTACAGATGCTGACACTAATTTGACTCCTTAATATTCTCTCTCTGATTAGTTTCAGTGTCTATGGGCTCACATCATTCCTTAATCATTGAGAAAGTGCTCCAGAAATAAACCCTTGCAACTTTTAGTTATCAAGAAGGGATTTTAAAAGTCACAAAAATGCCTATAGTTTTTGAAGTTTTGCCCCCTTTAAGATAATAATCACTGATTAAAGACCATCTTAGATTCAAGACTTTGGATGGTATCGCAAGACAGTGCTCTTCCGTGAGTTCTAGTGCTTCTGAACTCCATCCCCCTACACAAGAAAATGTTCACTTCTGCAGCTGAACGTAAAAATATGGACACTGGGTTATAATAAGCAGTTAAGAGCTTTAACCTCTGAAAATTCGTTCTTCCTGGCATTCTTGTTCTGACATCTAGATATGTGCAATTTAGAGCTACAGAGTTTAAGATTAAAAAGCCAGTTAACTTACTTGGGGGCTAAACCATGCTCTCTTCTCCCCTTAAATAAAATAAAACAAACGAATGGGAAAAGAATTCCAAGAATGACCCTTTTTTTTGTCCTTAGGCCAGTTGAGACTGTCTTTTGTGTTATTAGCTTGGCAGTGGTAGGTTCAGTTTAATCCAAAAAAAGCCTGGTGCTGAGATATTCACCACAAAAGAGAAACAGATCAGCCAAGTGCTGGTAGGTCTCAGGGATTTGTAGGGAATCAGCAAAATAAAGAAAATGAGGAACCAATAGGAAGAAAGAAACCAGGATAATGAAATCTTTAATATGCTGTTAAAATACCTACCTGAAAGCATCTTYTAAATATTGAGTGTTTGCAGCTTGCCCTCAGGGTTCAGCTCCTGCCGTGGAAGGAGTAGCAAGGACCTCTCATGAAGCCAAGGTCCTCCCTGTGCTTAGTAGTGGTGGAGAAGATAAGAAGCAAAAGCCTCTCTGTTTGTTCTTTCTTTGAAGATTTGCAGCATTGTTGGGATTCTCTGGCACAAGGTTTACCTGCCTGATGGATCACATCACGGGCCGGGATAGGCTCTGGCATTATTGCACAGTGAGCTGATAATGCCCCATGGSCCAGCCTGCTGTGCTGCTGGCCAGCATCAAACACCCACTGCTGGAGTCAGATCGTTGCTGTGATAAATGGCACCTGGCCGTTGGCTTCTCCCAGCCTGGCTGCAGGCAATGGCTTGTGGATGGCAGCTGTGAGRACAGGGCCCTTGGGGCCTCTGCCTGGATGGGCTGGGCTGGGTTACACCAGGTGAGAGCCTGGGCCGGACATGGGCTGTGCGGGGTGTTTGCAAGCACCACGGATRATCTTTTAAGACCTGACCCTGTACTCTAAAGTGGAAAGTGTTCCCCATATCGTTTCCTTTGGGTCTGTAATTAAGCTGATTCCTTTAGAGACATTTACAAACAGGCTGTCAATGTTGCTGATAAGAGCAAAGTGCTGTTTGTGGTAGAGGGAGTGAACAGAAGTGATAGGGAAGTCTGAAAACGAAGGAAGCTGCTGCTTCTTTCCCAGTCAGGGTCACTTGCAGCAACTCTTGAAGGGCAGGTGCTTCTTGCTGTGTTTGGAGGGTTAGGGACCTCTGGACCAGCATCCCTACAGAGCTGGGGGCAAACCTCTGAGCTGAAGGCTGCCCCAAAGGCAAACCAGCACAGCATCACCTGCCCCACAGCTGAGGTAGGCAGTTTTCCTCTTTTTCCTTCAGCTCTTCTATTAGTGATGTTGCTCTGGGCTGCAGTGAGTCCCTGACATTGCTGGTCACCTGGGTGTGTGTCTTTGGAGRGTTTTTCTGCCCCTTGCACTGAGAATGCCCATTGTAAATGTGCTCTGGGTTTGACACTGGTCAGAAGGGTTTCATCAGTGTCCCCCACAGTCCAGGGTGTTTCTGGTGAAATATTTGGGGAGTCTCAGCAGCCTCCTTTCCTTACTATCTGGTGTGGAATCCCTTGGAAAAGTCACATGAATAAGATTAATTCCATCATTGGTGTCATTTAAGAGGCTCCTTTTTTCCCTGCAGATACTTAAAAGGCTTCMCTCGTATCCCACATCTAGGATCCACTGCAGGTTTAGGCATCCAGGTCAGCACAYGTCTCCTGCAAAGGCCCTGCAGGAATTCCCTGCCCCAGAGTGATTACGATAGGGRGATAYATGGAGCATGCTATGCAACAGCGGGGGAGTGSCAAATTATCCCCAGTGTCCCAGGGYTCTGTGAGAAGTTTGTTAGCCAAATCTTCCAGGAGTCTTGGGGGAACCAACTCCACTSTAAAGCAGACAGCAGACTGGACAAGGACTTTGACAGTCCTCCCTGGGTGCCAGGACACCCACCTTACCTTTCTGAGCCCAAATCTGGGAATAGCTTGACCCTGAGTGTGTGATCAGGACATTCAGGCAGACTCCAGTGCTGCCAAGGCTGGGGCTTTGCTTTGCTTTGTGCATCTGTGCATGTGAGGCACATCAGCTGAAGTCTGATGGGCTTTTCAGATGAGAAGATACTTTCATCTGACTGCCCACAGTCTCAGGCCCTCACATTTCCATGGCCGGCCAGGTTCAGCTGTGTCCCTCCTCTCCTTCCCACGCAACCCTAAATCCCTGCCCACTTCCCATGCATGAATCCCTGCCTCAGAGCTGGGGTTAAAGAATATCATCCTCCCAGCARAGCATCTGCTTGGGAGGAAGAGCCTCGAGCCACGCATCTCACATGCTCTGAAGCACTCTCCTTCCACCCCCAGGAGACCCTACCAAGCCATCTGGATTTAGGAGCGTCAAAGCCCCCACCACAAAGGTGGCCTCATCCATTGGGAATGCCCAGAAGCTGCCCATGTGTGACAAGTGTGGATCTGGCATTGTGTAAGTAAGCTTGTCCCTCGGGTTGCRGGTGAGCAGCCCGTGCCTGTCCCCAGGGCTGAGGTACTGCACCCAAGCCACTTCACTTACCCACATCCAGTGCATCCAGGAGGCTCAAGGCGTGTTTRTTCTCACCAGCTTTAATAACACCAACTTTGCAGTTCGCCACAGTGAGGCAGGAGTTGGGTTTCCATCTACAAATCCAGAAACCAGAGCAAGTCCCAGAGACAAATCTTGAAGCAGTTGCTGCAGTGCTTTGCTTCTTACCTGAAATCTGTATACAGCATTTGGAAAGAAAATGACCTTTCCATTCAGGGCCTGTGTATTTAACACATTTCCCATCTGGGTGCCCTCAGACAAGGTGTGGAGGTCAGAGGTGGTGGGGACTGCAGAGCTGCATTCTGCTCCCTACTCTACTGTAGGACCTCACACCTCTACTTTGTCTATGCAGACATTTTTTTTTTCCTTATGTGGTTAAAATCCAGCTCCAGCATAGCTGGGGTTTGGGTTTGATGCAGAGGTGCTGCACCCTAAGTGTGACAGCATGAGGGACCCAACCCATGTCTTGGAGTTGCTCAGTTTTTCAACCTCAGATTCTTCCCTGCAACCCCCTTAACAGGTGACTACACAGCAGTCATGTATTGGTAGCCCACCTGCATTGTCATGAAAGAGTTCTGATATCTCAGATGCTGCCCACCACAGGCTGTGAGATTGTTGCTGAGATGCACTGCACTGTGACTGCATGGTCCTGGCATGCCTAGAGCATCTGGACTAGCAGAGTCGTTACAGAGGCAATCCATACCCTGTAAAATATGAATCAGAGACAAAACRTGTAATTATTGTACCAGCTGGGTAGGTCTAGAGAGAAAGCACAAGGCCATGAATAGCAYTCAAAACAAATTAATTACAGAAAATATAGATGGCTGCTGGAACGAAGTAATACTGGAAAATTGTTGTGTTGGGGCTGATGGTAGTTATTTGCTATGTAGTTCTTACAGTTTTCCTAGTCATCTGTTGGTTTAAGCTGTGAAGTCTTACAGTAAGAGGAGGCCCACATTTGGCTGGATCTGTTCACTGCAGCTCCCAGCCAGCAGTGTCTGAGATAAAAACCAGGATCTGCTCTCTGTGCTTCATGCTATGTACCTGGCAGGTYGGTCCCTAGCAAAAGGGCAGGGCTGGCTGTGCAGCCTTCAGCCCTACAGTTCTGTATTTGTTTTGCCATTCACTTGGTTTGTGCCTGGATTTTGCTCCCCTAGATGGTTAAGCTACTGCCTCCCATTTGATCCTGGTCATTTGAATGCTGTCATGCTGTCTCCAGCCATCACAGTAATTCTTCCCACCACAGGTGACTGGACAGTCCCTGTGAAACACAGATAGGGAATGTTCAATGCTGGGAAACACTTCCTAGGGGAGAGTTGCCATCCCAGCACACGTGGGCTTCTAGAAGTACCGTTAACATCTGCTTGACGAGAGTTAGGGCCTGGAGTTTGTCAGGAGCAGAAGAAAATTGTTCACCTTCAGGACTGGTGTGGGTCTGGGCTGGGTGGGAGGTGGCTGGGGAGGAGGCAGACAGCGCTGGGCACTGAGGGGTGCTGGTTCCTTCCCCAGAGGGATGTTTGTGAAGATCCGGGACAAGCAGCGTCACCCCGAGTGCTACGTGTGCAGCGACTGTGGCACCAACCTCAAGCAGAAAGGACACTTCTTTGTGGAAGACCAAATCTACTGYGAGAAGCACGCACGGGAACGGGTGATTCCCCCGGAGGGCTACGAGGTGGTCACTGTCTTCCCAAAGTAAACCGTGCTGCTCACAAAGCCAGTGTGGATGGTTTATCCTCTGCTGATTTTCCTTGGAAAGCATTATCCCTACCCCCTGCAGAATCTTGTTTGCAATACAGAATGTTAGGCATGGCTTTGAATTTCCTTGTCATTATTAATCCTCCATCTGTTCACAGGAGATGTCACTAATTGTTCAACATTCTTTTCATCTTCTCTGTCACTGTTGTTTTTTTAATACACAATTTTTTTCCTCCTTTGTGCTGTTAATCACACAGGAAAATCACAGGCCAAAGTCAGATTACAACTTTTCTGAGTTCCAGTTATTTGCCATCTGTTTGCCTTCAATAAATGGGGTGAATCCACAAGGCAGAAGTGTCTGCTTTCTGCTGTTTCCCTCGTGTATTGGATTTGGGTTCCCTGGGCAGCAGAGGAATTGCCCAGTGCATGGCTGTTTATTCTGGAGAATMGGGGGAGGGTTTTACAAAATTGAATCAGACTGGTCTCGCTGTCAGCTGAGCTTGTGAGCAGCTGCCTGCTGGCACCCAGCAAGGGGCAGGTGRGCACAGCCAAGACTGGTGGCCTGTCCCCAGTGCAAAGCAGCCGAAAGCTGTCTCCTCTGTGTCCAGCACTGCTTCATGATGATGGCACTGGGCACAGTATTTCCTGCTACTGCATCACCCAGGTGCGTCTTTGTTCTCCAGTCACAAACTGAGCTCTGTGAGAGACATGATCGCTTGATGCCAATGCCACACGTCCCTTTCCTCCTTGAGCAGTAGAGTTCATGCCCTCCGCTCTCCTCAGGGCGCAGCAGGAGCTGCAGGCCATGACAGACTGGAGGAGAGAGCTGGTGTGGGATGCAGCAGATCTCTCTCACAGCTGAACAGGAATCACTATTTTTAAATCTGTTTGCACAGTTAAGATGACCCTGCTGGTGGCAGTGATTGGCAGAGCTGGGCTGCCCCTTCAGAGCTCAGGTGTACTGCAAGTGCACTCATTACTCTTGACTGCAGGAATAAGAAATGTAAGGTATTATGCTTGCTTTAATCAGTGTCACTTTGCTCAGCACAAATCCAAAACACAGCTCCATAACCAGCCACTGTGAAGAAAACTTATTCTACCCCAGTCAAAACCAGCAGTCGTTAATTTTTAAATCTTGCAGATCTTCACTAAAGGATGCATGGAGACTCACATACTGTGTGAATGTAACATGTGGAGACAGCACATGCTGCACTTTGTATTACTTAGGTTAATAAGTAACTGAGCAGAAAGTTTAAAAACTTTTGTCCAACAATTACCAACAAAATGGGGCTTTCATCAGGTAAAGGTCAAAACCAGCCTACTCATTAACAGATTCATCTGTTCCCTTAGAGGTAAGTATAAATATCTCTTGCTAAGATACTTTATATCAGGCCAACAGATTACTTACTCCCTATGGACAGTAATAATGATCATAAAGWGAATGAAAACTGTTTTCTGAAGTCTGATTATGTAGCGGGGTTTTTTTCCCATGTTATCTATGCCACCTTAACCAACACGACTACAACTGTGACAGCACCAGCTGCAATTCCATGACTACAGCTTTTAAATACCTAAATGACATTTACACAAACCAGAGTCAGAAGCTTAAAAGCTGCCTGATTCATCCAGTGCTGTGTCAAGTTTTGGGTCCCTCGCCACAAGGACACTGAGGGGCTGGGGCATGTCTAGAGGACAATGAAGGTAGTTAAGGGTTCTGTAAGGGGAAAGTGCAGAATGTGTGTGGGGGTGGGTGAATGCCACTTTCTGGGAAGGGAAGGGCCATAAATGAGGTCAATTATATTACTTGCATATGTAACCTATAGGAGTCAGCTGTCAGCAATAGCTTGCAACTTAAAATGATACAATCATTTACATTGGGAAATACTCATGAGACTTAGTCTAACCTTTAGCGTGGCACTGCTGAATCTGTAAATAATGTCCTCAAGTGTCACATCCACATCTTTTAAATACCTCCAGGGATGACAACTCCCTCACTTACCTGGACAGCCTGTCCAGTGCTTGACTTTTTGGGTGAAGAAATTTCCTAATATGCAATCCCATCCTTTCCTAGTGCAACTTGAGGCTATTTCCACTTGTCCTATTGTTTGTTACTTGGGAGAAGAGTCTAATACCTCATTACAACTTCCTTTTAGAGTGGTAAGGTCTCCCTTGTCCAGGCTAAACACACTCGGCTCCTCCTAACACTTCTGCTCCATTCTGCAGCAGTTTTGTAGCTCCCTCTGCCTGCTTTAAATGGGCAACTCAGCTGCACAGGCTGATGTGCAATCAATACAGAAGTAATGTCTGCAGCAGAAAGATTTAGGTTATTTTAGSCTCATTGCTTTTTGGTTCCTGGCTGTTTATTGTGTGGTTTGTGTGCGGGCGTTTTTCTGCAGTTGTATGGGGTTTATTTCTTGGTGGGGTTMGTTTGGTTTTTTTAAATGTATGACACTGGCTAATGTGCTAAATGAGTCTGAAAGTGTGAATTAGTGGACAAAAGATKAGCTTTGCTTATTTAAGAAGCCAAAATCCACACTTTTGAAACCAACCAGATATTTATTTAACCAAAATAATTTGCAGAAGTTAAAAACAGAAGCTACACAAATGGTTTAACGAAGACACACGTTCTCTCCCGTCCAAATAAAACGATAATTGACACCATATAAAAAAAAAAAAAAAAAGCCAACCAAAAAACGGTGTTTTAGGACTTCCACAGGAAGCTTTTTTTAAAACAAATTTGCCAGTTTTTACCACTGAGCACAAGAACTAGCTGCAAGTGTGAAAACATGCTCATTGTCTTAATTCTTTATGAAAGCCTACTAAAGCTACAATAAACAATCACCTGCATTATACTCTAGAACATGTTAAAACTCGCTGGAAGAACACAAGAGATTTGAACAAGGCCTTAAAGTCAGCATCAAGGATCAGTAAGCATAAGTGACATCTCTGTAAGAGCTGTAAGATTACATAGAGGCCACATTTGCRTATTAAAACACACATTCTGCATTGGACTCTGATGACTCTTCCAGGACTTTGAAGACACCCATTTTTTCCTTTTTCATTTTTTCAGAGTTCTTCATTTGATCTAAGATTAAAACAAATCAAAGGTYAACAATAACAGGTGTAGTAGAAACCAGATTTGAATAACAAGTTGACAAAACCAGTTTGCAGATTTGGAGAACAAGTTGATAAAACCATTTTGCTCCTCCATCAGCTKGCTACTAGAAGTCTGTTTGAAAATATTTTTCAGTTGTATGCTTTTAGAAAAAAARTCCATCATCTCTGGCTAAATGTGAAAGAAGATACACAATTTTAAAAGGTGCCTGAACTAGTCTAATTTTCCTGAGAAAAATACCCAGAAAACCTGTTTMGTGAAGTTACCAGAAGAAACACAAAGTTGCAGCTCTGAGACGTAATATTCTTTTCAAAAATTCAAAGATCTGCA